AAACCCATTTTGGGAGCCCTAAAGTCATCTTCTAAAAATGTCAGATTTACTTTCTAGGGTAAGTTTTGTCTACCTATGCATGAAATCTACTTTATTGTATTATGTAGAAATCTTTGGAATAACAGATCCTGTAGTCAGATTTATGCTGTATATAGCACATTTTTCCTTCCTGCCCCCACCAACAATCTGTTGAGTGACTTTGAGTCTTGTCACATTTCCCCTGACTTTTGTACATTCTGTGTTAACTCAGTGCATCCAATAGTAGTAGGTGCTTGCAATTCTGCTGTTAACTCTATAGGCACATTCCTAAGAAACTTAACATTAAAAAGCAGTCATACCATAAAAACAGTTGTTTCAATAGGAAAAAGAGTATTTGAATTTAAAAAACAAAACATTTTTCTTACACTGATGTCAAGTTCTTTTTCAAAATAAATATAAACGTATCAGCTAAATCCTGAACATCACTAGACAAATTCATTTCTTAATTGTTTCTAGATTTTTGCTTGAGAACAATGGCCTTTCTTTACTTTTCACTGTATTATAAGTAATGCATCCCAGAGTCTTTTTAGATATACATATCACTTTTATTACCCATTGTTGTGACTAATAAAACACAAAGCACTTAAAACAACTTGTTTTTCTGCTATAGGATGGCATTTCTTGTTAGGCAAATCTAGATTTTTTTCTGTTGAAGTTGTGAAACTTCAAGAGAAATACCTGTAAAAATACATGATTTCTTTTTTCCAGTGTGTTTAGGAGATAATGTTATGTTACTTGTGATTTTGATAGGTAGTCAATTTTTTTAAATGATCAAAAAGGTTTGGGAAATGCTGAATTGAACAAATAGTTTTCCTTACAGCAAAGATTTTTGGAGTTTTAGCATTTATGTTGTCAGTCTCTAATATGAAGTATTTCATAGATTCATTTGACCTTGATACTCTCCCCTTTTTTCCTGAATACTCCCTAATATCTCATAAAAAGAGTTGTTCCAAAAAACACAAAGTTTGGGTAAAATAAGATTTCTTGACTTTTTTTTCCCCTCCTTTTAACAGTATGGGGATTCAGGCCTTCAAATGGGATTGGATCAAGCCCCCGGCTCCTTTCCTCTTTAATCCTGCTCTCCCTTCCTTTGTGTGTGTTGAATTTTTCAAATCAGTTTCTCATCTGGTAGCAAACAGTACCAGAGAAAGGGCTGTGAGCATTCACTCCCCTACCTATTAAAAATCCTGAGAATACACTACTACTGAGCACCTCTGAACTAATTTCTAGCCTTGGGTTACCTGAGGGAGCAAAAGGAGTGGGATTACCCTGATAAATAGAATGAGGCCATTCGGTGCCCAGCCCTGTTGCTGGAAATGATGTCACCCAGGTAATGAGGCTGCTTCACTTACTGTGTGAATATGGATGTTGGGGAGACAACACTATTCACTACCAAATATAGTTTATCAGTACTACAACAGTTAAAACAGTAAATGGACATTCTGGTGACAACTTTATTGAGATCGGTAATATGAAATTGGTGATTCTTGAGCTGAGTCTTGAAGGATGGGTATGAATTCATTTGGTAGTTGATTAGAGCTTCCCAACCAGTGTGTCATTAATCAGTAAAGGCGTCCCTTGAGATACCGGTGGTTGTAAAATGTTATTGTAATAAAAATATTTAAACAAGTGTTTTACATTTCAAAAATTAAAACACTTGAAATTATATGGCTCCCTGTATAAACTGT